CCCCCCACCCCTCAGCTCTGACCAGGGAGGGGTGCAGGGCCCCCCCTGTCCTGCTCACCAGAATCCCGTACTGCCCCTGGGTGAAGTCGGTGGCCTCCCGGGACGGGCCGCGGATGTCACGCAGCCGCCGGGGCTCTCGCCTGACCTTGGGCACCGCTGGGACCTTGTCCATGAACTTCAGCTTCGTCCTCTCCGGGAAGGTGATACCTGCCGGGGGAGGGGGACAGGCCTGTGAAGGTCACTGGCCCCAGGACCCCCCGGTGCAGGGCGGGCGGGGTACAGGCGGCAGCAGACCGGGGAGGGGGGTTTCTCCCCGTCTATCCCCCTTACCGCTGTAGTCTGGAGGCAGCACGTATTTCTTGAGGCCCGCCCGGGGAACGGTGACACCGCCGGGACCTGAGGGACAGAACGGAGACTCAGAACGGGGTCTGATGCACCGGGATGGCGGCGGGGGCGGGGGGTCCGGGAGCGGCCCGGCTTCCCGGGAGCGGCTCCGGCAGCGTTGGGACGGACACAACACCCACCCCCTCCGGATCCCAACATCCCCCCACGGCCACCACAGCCGACCCGGGAGTCCCGGACCCCAACGCCTCCCGGTTAACACGGGCGGGGACCCGGGTGTCCGGTTGCCAGAGCCTCCCCTCTCCGGCTCGTCCCCCCGCCGGGCTGGCGGGACACATACACGCTCCTCCCCGACCACCACCCAAGGCAGACAGCGGTCCCTCGAAGCGCTGCCCGGGCTCCCCTCACCTCCTCCGGCCAGCAGCGGCCGCGGGAGCCGCCATCGCCACATCGCGGCCCGGCCGGAAGTGCCTGTGGGGCGCCGCCATAAGATCCGCCCTATCAGAACAGCCCGGCGGGGAACACTTCCGGTAAAGAGGTCCACCCCCTCCGGTGCCCCCGAGAAACACGGAGGGGAACTTTAGTTCCGGGCGGGGCGGCCCCCCCCCCCCACATCGCCGTGTCTTTCCACGGCATCGTCCCCGCTCTACTCCCACGGTAGCGGGCAGGGGTCCCCGCCGGGCAGGACCCCCCCCCTCCCCCTGAGGCGGGATGTTTGTCTGAGTACAATGGCGTTGCTGTTTCTTTGCCCGATTTTTTGCTGATGGGTGGTGGGTGGGGGGTCTGTATGTTGCAAAATGTGCGAGAAATTGCTTTTGGATGGCCTTGCGGTTTCTGGGCCATCCTGGACGAGCCCCCACTGAGGAAGGTAAGGACTTTAGCCCTCTTGGGTAACTTAGCTTAGAAGTATCCATACGAATTACGCCAAAACATAAGCATAGATAATAGAAGCACTAACGAGCATTCTTTAGGATAAGAGGCATCAAACATGCAGAAGATCACACTGCGCAGAATCATCCGAGAAGGGTCAAGTAGCAGATGAGTGAGGAAGACTATGGAAGACCATGGAAGACCACCAGAGGACTCCTGAAGACCACCAGAGACCTTCAATGCACCTGTGTAAAGGACATTTGAATATGCTAATAGTTTCCCAGAAAACTAATGAATATGTATAACATTTCTCAGAAATCTAGTCAATATGTATGTAGAACGTATACTCAACCTGCACAATTAGGCCTGACAGTGTGCACGATAGGTGGAGCGATTGCCAGGTGGAGCGATCGCCCGTGTACCCAGCGCTGCAATAAAGAATGCCTGCTTTCTAAAACTCCAAAATTGAGTCTTAGAGAGTTTCTTCAACCGGCTTTTTCGGTATCACCCCTACCTCGGTGTCCCATCGAGGCTCCCATGTCCCTCCCAGAGCTTGCCCCAACCCTCTCCCCAAGACCTGGTCCCCATTGAGGGGGTCCCAGGGTCCTGTGTTCCCCCCCGAGAGGCGGAGGGGCCACCGCCACCACAGACAGACACAGACAGACAGACAGACAGAGCTGTGCTGCAAATGGCTCTTTATTGCTGCCACGGTGGGCCCGGTGGGGCCAAGTGTCCCTCGGCGACATCAGTAGAGACTGAAGACGGCCTGGATGTGCTCCCCATTCCATGGCTTGTAGGTGCCGACCCCTGCGGCGGAGGGAGAGGCGTGAGGCTGGGGTATCACGACCCCCCCCCCCCCCAGGTCCTCTTGCCCCCCACCTTGGGCTACCCACCTTCTTGGAGGGCATCGCTGCCACTAAGGAACTTCCAGTAGGTCTTGTCGTCCGGGTTGGCGGCCAGCCCATGGATGGAGACCACCATGGGGCCCCAGGATGTCTGCTCCGTCTCGAAGCTACCGGAGAAGCGGGTGGGCTTGGTGGGGGATGCCACATGCCCCCCGCTCTCTGCCACCTGTCTCCTCTGGCTCTTACCTAAAGATGTCAGGTCTCTTCGCCTCCGCTGCCTGCAGCACCTTGAGCAGCGTGGAGCCGACCGGGACCCGCACCGAGGTGGTGTAGCTGAAGTGCCTTCCCTGCAGCTTGTTGATGATGGAGTAGTGCACCGTGATGGTGGCTTCTGGGAGGGCAGAGGGGCAGGGTGGGCAGCCGGCACAGTGCCACGGGGCACAGGGCAGGAGCATCATCCCCGTGGGGTCTGGCGGGGGGAGCTCCTGGAGGGAGAAGCCGTACCGCTGGGAACTGTGGTTGTACTCGGCTTTGGGGACAGGGACGGCTGTAGGGTCGGGGACGCGCCGGTGCTGGCAGTGCAGTCCAGGCTGGCCGCTTCCAGGTACGACATGCCCACGAGGGCAGGCAGGACCTGGGCGATGGCCATGGGCTGGCGGTAGTCATGGCTGTACACCACGGAGAAAGCCTGGGCGCAGTCCCACTCCCGCGGGAAGTAAAAATTGCTCGTGGCCCCCAGCACCTGCGGAGGAGGCAGGAGGCGGCATGAGCGGCTCCGGGAGCAGGACCGGGCAGCTGCGGTGCCGCAGCCCTCCCCATACCTGCAGGGCCAGTCCCATACTGTAGATATTCCCAATCATGCCACCCTCCTTCTCCTGCTCGTCGAGGAAGCCGTTGGTCACCACCCACAGTGCCTCCTGGAGCAGTTCCTGCACGTCGTAGAGGTCCGTCTGGCCGTACGTGCACGCCATCGCCAGTGCCGCCATGGCACGGGTGTCTGCGAGATCCCGGCGTCACCGCCAAGCCGCCAGGAGTGGGGGGGCTTTGCGAGCCGAGGGGACGCGGCAGGGCCAGAGGTGTCCCTTACCCACAGAGAGTTGGCTCCCGAGTGTCAGCACCTTCTTGGCCAGGATCACGGATGCCCCTTGGTAGCCACCTGCTTCTGCCAGGCACAGGGCCAGGGCGTCCAGGCTGACGCTGTACAGGGTGGTCTTCGGGACGCCCTCCAAGTCTGCAAAGCAAAATGTGGCAAGCTGATGGGGGACCAAGGCACGGGGAGGGAGGTGCCTCCATCCCGGGCACCCTGGGCCATCCCTCCCGTGCTGGCGTACCCAGGCTGGCCATCTCCTCGTCCGTTTTCTCCTGCAGGACTTGGACCAGGTTGATGGTCTGCCCTAGGGCATGGACGTGCCAGGGGTTCTGGCAGGAGGAGAGGAGGGCGAGCACGTACAGAGCCACCTCTCCCGAAGTCATGTCTGCGGGGACGAGAGAGCAACCAGGGCGTGTTGGGGGGCCAGGACCTGGCACTCCGGTCCCCAGCTGGGCTGGAGAGAACTGGCCGTGCCAAGCCTGCGGTACCGGCTCTGCCGGGACCAGCTGCCATGGCAGGGGTGCACCCCCAGCCCCTCCTTACCTTTCTGGGCTCTCTTCACGGCCTCCTGCTGTATCTGCTGGAGCAGCCACTTGTTGGTCTCAGTGCCGGTGGCCCCGACCAGGTTCATGGCCAGCAGGACGCTGGGGTTCGGCAGCTCGTCCGCCTTGACGGACTCCTCCAGGCGCTGCAGCATCTTGGAGACCAGTTGGTACGGGGCGACTGGAAGGAGAGGGGCCAGGCTCCCCACTGGCACTTGCGGCGGGAGGTTGCAGGGGATCCCATGTCCCCTCCACGCAGTCCCTCGCAGGGTCACCGGTCTCTCCGGTGCCTCCGTGGGAGGGGTGACACTCACCGCAGCTGTGGGCAGCCGTGCTGCCCACCAGGGCCAGCAGGACCCCGATGCCGAAAGCCACGCCAAGCATCCTCTTGTCCTCAGGGCAAGCGGGTCCGCTCAGACCGTCAGAGTCCTGCGAGCACTCGTCTCTCCGGACGTCCTCTATGCTTTTAGCTGCTTCCGCTGCCCTTCTCCAGTCACCTGCCTTCCCACAACCGCCCTGGCACTGCCAAGCACCGCCGGCTTATCTGTGTGCCCAAGGGTGTCCAACGGAGTTGGACAGTCACGGCTGCGAGGGCAGTGATTTTCCATTTGAAATCGCAAGGGACCAGTTCTACCAGTTGAATGAGTCCGCGGTGCCAGATGGGATTCACCCAGGGCACTGAAAGAGCTGGCGGGTGTCACAGCAGGATCCCCCCTCAATCATCTACCCACGGTCCTGGGTGCCTGGGGAGGTTCCTGCTGGCTGGAAGCTCGCCAGCCCTATCCCAATTTACAAGAAGAGCTTGCACTTTCCGGGAAACTACAGCCCTGTTAGTCTAACCTCAGTACCTGGAAAAATGATGGAGAAGGTCATCCTGGGTGTTATCGGAAAGCATTTAGAGGACAATGCCATCACCAGGGATGGTCAGCATGGGTTGACAAAGGGAAAGTCCCGTCTAACTGGTTTGATATCCTGCTACGATGAGGTCACCCGCCGCGTGGATGACGGAAAGGCAGTGGATGTTGTTTTTCTGGATTTGTGAGGCTTTTGATCCTGTCCCTCACAGCGTCCTTCTGGACAAGGCGCCCAGCTGCGAGATGAGCAGGTACAGGGTGCGCTGGGTGAAGAAATGGCTGGACAGACCTCAAAGGGGTGTAGGGAATGGGGCTACATCTGGCTGGAGACCAGTCACTGCAGTCGATGCCAAACTGGGAGGTGCTGGTGACTCTCTCGAGGGACAAGCGCCCTGCAGAGGGATCTGGCTGGCTGGGAGCTTTGGGCAATTGTCAACGGCAGCAAATTAAACAAGAACAAATGCCGGATTCTGCACCTGGGAAGGAGTGCACCAGTGGGGACCTTCCTTACCGGCGTGGGTGACCACGTAGCGGCCGTGGTTACGCAGCAGCTCTGCCTCCAGCACCACACCATGGGCAGGGGCAGCCGTGGGGCGAGCAGGACACGGGGGCTTGGGGGACAGCTCCGGGTCCACCGACCAGGTCGTCTTCTGCCCCAGGCTTCTCACCATGGGGTGCTGAGGGCTGCCCACCCCTGTGGGGCCCGTGGGCTACAGGGGTGTCACGGGCTCCCAAGGGTCCAGCCAGTGCCGGGACCAGCCCTGCATGTCTCAGTGTCCCCACCATCATCCTTTGCCCTGCCTGCTGCCCCATGCCAGAGCCCAGAGGCAGCTGGGATGGGGAGGGCAGGTTGGGGGGTGCCTGGGCGAGCCATGTGTCCCCTTTTCCCAGCACAGCCCAAGGGACAGGGGCCAGTTCCTTTCTGTGCCTCAGTTTCCCCAGAGGCTCTGCAGTGGGAAGGTGCCCCAAGGACACGCTCGTCACCCTGCGTGCAGGGACCAGCCTGCTTTTGGGGCGAGGAAGGCAGCACATGGTCAGAGATTGACCCCCACCTTCTCCATCACCCCCCCCCCCCCAGGCAGGGACAGGGACCGAGGCTGGGACAGGGACCAGGACCAGGGGAAGGAGCAGGACTGGAGCAAGAGCAAGGACAAGGACAGGGACAGGGACCCAGGGCCCTTGGTTTGCCCTGGGAGGAGGAGAACTCTGCGGAGACGAGGCCCAGGTGGGTGTGAGGGGCTGGGCGGGGGGCTGCAGGGACCACCCGGCTTCCCATTGGGAGAGCTGCACCTCAGCCCAGGTGTAAAAGCCATCAGTGGAGGCTGCCCCTCCTCTTCCTCCTCCATCACCATGAAGGTTCTCAGGAGTGGGTGGTTTGTGCTCTTCCTTGCAGCTGCAGCCTGGGCGCAGGATGCCCTGGGTAAGGGGCTGTTTGGGGGGAGTCCTGCTGGGTCTGGCTGCCCTCCCTGGGGAGGGGAGAATGAGCAGTGCCCCCCCAGGCTGGGCTGCTGGGTGCCTGTGCCCTGGGCATGGCTGTTTGCTGCGGGGTGGTGGGTATGGGTGATGCCTGGCTGCCAGTGGAAGAGGACCACGGTCTCCTCTCCACCCCAGGCAGGGCAGGTCTGTAGGTCAGGCTGCCTCGAGCACCAGGTTTGGGGCTGGGAGGTCGACTCTGGAGCGAGGGAAGCCCTGGGGTGGGTCCCGCAGCTCCCCCATCTCCCCATGGGGACCCTTCGGGAACATCATGGCCACATCGGTGCCCTGGGGTGACTACAAAGCAGCTCAGACCCTGGGGCTACCTCCTTCCCTGTCCTCCCTAAGGCTGAAATGCTAAAATGGGGAAACTGGAGGGGAAATCTGTGCTGGGGGCTTGCCTGGCTTGCTCCCCTGGGAACCTGGGGGTCCTCAGGGAGCTGGTTCAGCCCTCCTTCTCCTTACCCTGCCACAGTCTCCGTTACATGCGGCCACACGTGGCTCGCCGTGGTGGTACCGGCTGGATTCCTGGGGAGCCGCGTGGCCAGTGGGGAGCTGATGCTGGGATCCGGCTGTGGGGTGACCACCGCTGATGGGGATGGGTACTGGCTGAAGCACCTGCTCGTGGGCTGCGGGACCACCCTGGAGGTGAGGAGCCAGGGGTGGCCATGTGTCCCCGATGGAGGTCCTGCAGCAGCGTGGTCCTCCTCGGGGCGGGTGTAGGATGGAAGGGGAGGAGGACCATGTCCCACAGGGGAGGGACAGCGTCAGGGCATCCTTCGATGACCTGAAACCTGGTTCTTGCTGTGTGCTGGGAAGCTTTCTGGGTGCTGGGGACAGGGAGAGGACACCCGTTCTGAGCCGGGTGACGTGTCCTCCAGCCCCATGTCTGCTCCTTTGCCCAGCTTCTCCCGGACAGCATCCACTACAGCAACGTCCTCCACTACCGCCCTTTGGCCGGGGGTCCCGTGGCTCGTGCCAGACCCTTCTCCCTCCCTGTGGACTGTTACTACCCCAGGTAAGCAGGGAGCCCTATGGGGCTGGGCTCTGGCTGAGCCCCATGTGCCCACGCTCCCTGGGTTGTTACCCACGACGGGACCCCTCGGTGCTGGGTCCACCAGCCCATCCTGGGCAGGGAAGGTGTGGGGGGGGTGCCTGCCCATGGGGCACATGGCAGGTAGGGGTGCCGGGAGCCTGTCACCCTGCTCGAGGATGCTCTGTGGCGCAGGATGGGCAGCGTTTCGTCTGGGGCCATCCAGCCCACCTGGGTCCCCTTCAGTTCCACCATCGCTCACCGGAGACGCTTACGCTTCGCCCTGGATGTGTATGATAGTGAGTGGGGGAGCCCCAGACCCCTTTATTCCCCTGTGTGTGGGGGACCCCCCCCTACCTGGCCGGGGCCCTGGGACAATGCTCAGGGTAGCCACAGCCATGTGCTTTCCAGGTACCTGGTCCTCCCGCCTGCACCAGCCCACCTATTCCCTGGGGGAACTGATCAACATCGAGGCGTCGGTGAGCACCGACCCCCGACTACCCTTGAGGGTCTTCGTGGACGAGTGCGTGGCCAGCCCGAGCACGGCGGCATGGCTGGAATACAAGGTCATTGCTGACAACGGGTGAGCATGGGGCTGGGCGCAGGGTGGTGGCTGCTGCCCCAAATTGATGCTCCCTCTCCTTGCCAGGACCCTGTGGGTGGTGGCAGAGCCCGGCTGGCCCTGGGGGGGGTGGAAGAGCCCATCTCACCCCATTTCCCATCCCGGCAGGTGCCTGCTGGATGGGCAGCTTGGTCGTTCCCGCTTTCTCCCCCAGCGTGGAGACCGCTTCCTCCGCTTCCAGCTGGATACCTTCCTGTTCCCAAATGTCTCTGGCAGCCAGGTCTGTGCCAGCGGTGTCTTGGGGTGCAGGGTGATCCTGCACTGATGGGTGGGTGAGGGGGCAGCTGGGGGTGATCAGTGGAGAGCCATGGGGCAGCTCAAGTGGTGTGGCAGGAGGATGCTTGTCCTTGCAGATCTACCTCCGCTGTCACCTGAAGGCTGTGGCAGAGGGAGCTGGCAGCACCTCCGGCAAAGCCTGTTCCTACGACCCTGTTGCAGCCACCTGGCACTCCCCTGATGGGGTCAACTGCTCGTGCTGTGGCTCTCCAGCTGGCTGCGGGGGCCGGCGGCGGCGCCGGCTGACTGGCAGCGGAGGTAAGAGAACCCCCTCGGTGGGATCCACGAGTCCTATGGGGGCTGCCTGTGCCCAGCGGTGCCTGATGGGCTTCTCCTTGCAGGGCTCCTGGGAGAAGCCAGCGTCCAGCTTGGTCCCCTGGGGCTGCTCTCGGTTCTGCCCAGCTCATCCCTGGCCCCCACAGAGCTCCCCATGGCACTGGAGCCCAGCCCAGCACCGTCTCGCCGCCCCTCAGTCCCCGTGGTGCGGGGGGAGAAGAAGGATTTGGGTGAGTGCGAGCTGCCCCACGGTGTTGGGGGGTGGCTGGGGTGACCCTGCCATCCCCCTCACCCTGCTGTCTCACCCCACAGGGCTGGCTGTCCCTGTCCCTGGCACCATGCTGGCCATGGTGGCCATGTGCTCCATCATCACCGCCATGGGCATAGCTGGCTGCTACTGTTCGGTGCGGCGTCACCGGAGTGGGCACGGGGTGGGTGACCCCGAGGCAGCCCTGGGGGAGTCCCGTGCTGTGGCCATGGCCCCCACTGCAGCCAGTGGTGCTGAGGCCACCCCCGAGAATTCCCTTGCTCCTGCAGACCCTGCCGTTGTGTGAGCCTCCTCGTTTTAGCAATAAATTTGTAGCAGAAAGGCTGTGCCACGTCAGTGTGGGAGGGGGCTCTGGAGACCGTGTACTCCCCTGGGTGCTTGGGATGAGTTGGTGAGGGGGATGTGACATGTCCCCAGTGCCTCTGTGTACCAGAAAAGGTCCCACTGGTCTCTCTGGGGTGCTCTCGGACAGCCCACGCTGCCCACCATGGGCTGGCTTCCTGGCAAGCATGGCTCCTGTGCCACAACTCCCTGGGAATCAGCCAACTTGGTGGGGGGGCAGAGCGCTGGTACCCCCTCTGCCCATGTGGTGGGCAGAAAGCATCCGTCTCCGACATAGGGATGCCAGCATGGTGAGCCAGTGCTGCTCTGCACCACAACCTACAGCCCCCTCCCCGGCACGGCTGCAGCCCCCCTCCCCTGGCGATGCTCTGGTGGGTGCTGGGGCAGTTTGTGGAGAAGGGGAGGCAAGAGCAGAGCTGCTGGGGGGGGGGGGGGGGGTAGTGTCCTGCGTGGGAATTCACAGGCATCTCGGCTCCTGGCCTTAGGCTGCCAGGGTGGGGGAGATGGGTTGAAGGGGTCTCGCTGCTCTCCCGCTTCCCAAAGCTGCTCAGCCATGGAGGGGGAGCAAGTCCCTGGGTAGGGGGGACACGGCTCAGAGGGTCCTTGTGCCACTTTCCTACACGGCGAGAGGCTGCAGAAGCCGGCTGGGGGAAGCCAGCCGGGCCTGTCCTTGACTGCCGGTGGTCTGTGCCGCGATCACTGCCGAGCTGTGCGGATATTCGCCTTATCAGCCGCTTCACCGCATGGGCAGTGCCAGGCGCAGGATGATGGTGCGTAGGGCGGTATCGCATGGCCCCCTTCATCCACAGGGCTTTAATTATTTACCGACTTTGGGTTTGTGGGGTTTTTCTTTTCTTTTTTTTTTTCCCCCTTCTCCTACCTGGAGTTCTTGGCTGGACACCCTGAAACCGTGGGCCAGCTCCCTGGGTGTGAAGCCACCACAGTGGAGAGTAGCTGGCGGCGGGGGACACACACACAATGATGACAGGACCTACTTGGGGATCCCATCTGCTTGTCACCTCCTGCAGCCAGGGAGCAGGGACCTTCCCGGGGCAGAGCCAGGCTGATCCACAGCGTGGAACCATCCCTGCATGGGGCAGGGGTGCTGAGGAGGTCTGGTCCCCACGACCTGGGGGAGGGAACCCTGCCCGGGCAGTACCCAGCCCTATGCCCTGGCTGTGTGGGGCAGGGGCCAGCCCCCCCCACTCTGCAGGGAGGAGGCATTTCATGCCTAATGGCCCTTGATGGATCTTTCTTCCAGGAACTCGCTGCAGAGAGCTTTTTAATTTTAATTTTAATTTCTTTTTTTTTTTTCTCTCTTTCTGAGCTCCTGTAAACACAGCCTTGTGCTGGGGCATGGGGGCTGTGAGCAGGGTGGGGG